AAAAAAAAACAGCAGAGGCAGAGCAACACGCACACACACACACAGAAAGAGAGAGAGAAAGAGAAAGAGAGAGAGAGAGAGATCTTTCATCTGTTGGTTCCCTCCCCAAATGGTCTGGTCTGGGCCAGGCTGAAGCCAGGAGCCAGAAACTTCATCTTAGTCTCCTATATGGGTGGCAATGGCCCAAGTACTTGAGCCATCTTTTGCTGCCTTTCCAGGCACATTAGCAGGAAGGTGGATTTGAAGTGGAGTAACTAGGATTCAGATCAATACTCTCATAAGACATGCCAGCATTATAAGCAGCAGCTTAACTGCTGTTCCACAATGCTGGCTCCAAGGCTATGTATCTTGACAGGAGTTTGGGTTATCTGGTATACATTTGCCAGATCTAAGCAAATTGTACCTTTAAATATATGTATATTTACCCTGGAAAAAACTGTAAATATATACTTTACTCTAGTTAATGACATAAATGTTGAAGTGTTTAGTGATGAAATGTACTGAGGTCTGCTACTTATTTTGAAATGCAACAAAAAATAAGGTAGCTTAGTCAATGCATAGAGGGATAGCTAGATGGATAGAGAAAGTATAGTAGAATTTAGGTGGTGGTATATGGGAAAAATTCTTTTACTATATGAGGGGGGTCATATAGTTAATGAAAAGTTAATGGGATATTAAAGTTGAAAGCTAAAGTTGATGGAAAATGGAATGAAAGGATAATATGCATTTCTATGCACTTTTGAGGCCCTCTCAGTGCAGGGTCAATTTCATGGGTGTGTGACCTGTGTAAACATACAGGGCCCCATATACAGAAGAACCAAGTGCTTGGTTTAATGCTCTACTGCCACTCTTTTGGAATTCTTAACAATTTTGCCTTTGAACTTATGTTCAATGTCCAGTGGGATAATGGATCATGAACATGAGTAGCATAGATACACATATTATGTGTCTATTAGTTCTTTGCCACCCCTTGTATGTATAGTTTTTGTGATGCTCCATGAAAACAGAATTCAAGTGGACCCATAAAGTGTGGAAGTTCAGCAATACTCAATTGGAGGACAAGGTAAATGAGTTATGTGTATGACTAAGCAGGGGTACTGGCAATCCCAAGACACTACACTTTCTATATAAACTACAACTTGCTTTGCATGCAAAAGAAGAAGGCATTGGTATTCTAAGAAACACGAACAACAAGGAAACCCTATTATTCTTTTCCTTACTCATGCTATTTCCCTGTAATTGTTAACCAATATCAGTTACATGATGGTACAGAAATAAAGGGAAAAATAAGGCAACCCATAGTCCTTTTCATTTCAGTCATTTTTACTCATCTGTAAACCAAAGGTAGAGATGGTTGGCGGAATGTATGCATATCAAAAAGGAATGTGCATGTATCAAATAGGAAACAATTGAGGTAATTTTATGCAACAATCCCTCAATTCTGGTAAACACAAATACATATGCATGTATGAGTTGCAAAGTATGAATTGTGTCATTTTGGTGATTCTGCCTATTAGTTAAATGCTCTTAGATTTGATTTTAAAACTTACATTGCACACTATAAAGTTGAATAGTAAAAAATCCTGCTAAGAATTTAAATTTTAAATTATTTTTAACTTAGAATAACAACATTAAACAGCAAATAGAAAATATGAGAGAGAGAGAGAGAGAGAGAGAGAGAGAGAGAGAGAAGTAGGAGTACATGAATGCACAGAAGAATGAAAACTCCTCTTATCTTAGTAGTTCTAGCAGTACTTTCCCCCTGCTTGCTTTATGTATCTATGTATCTCTCTGTCTGAATGGCAGTGTTAGAGAGAGAGAGAGAGAGAGAGAGATATCTTCCATCACTGATTCACTCCCCAAATGGCCACAACAGCCAGGTCTGGACTGAGCCAAAGCCAGGAGCCAGGATCTTCTTCTGGGTCTCCCATGGGGGTGCAAAGGCCCAAGCACTTGGGCCATCCTCTACTGCTTTCCCAGGCGCATTAGCAGGGAGTTGGATTGGAAGTGGAGCAGCTGGGCCTTGAATCGGCGTTCATATGGGATGCTGGCACTGCAGACATGGTTTAACCTGCTGAGCCACAGCACTGGCAGCACTCCTGCTTTTTGGATAAGGACTCTCTCATTTTCATTTTTTTGCTGTACACCACAAATTATGTAGATAACCCTGTCTATATGTTAGAAGTTTTTGAAAATACAATTTTGTAGAAAATCCTAACTATTCTTTACATCCTATCACAAACCCCCTGTGAAGTTTTGTCTTGACATGTCATATCAAACCATAGTAATTGAAAATAATTAGTAGATACAAAATAATATTGTATGTATTTATGGGGGTACACTATTATATCCCAATGCATGTATACAAAATATATGAGATGCTTTGTGAAATTGTATGTCATCCGTGCACAGAAACCATGCTTATCTCTGTATCATTCTACTTTTAGTATATGTGCTCCAAAGTGAGCATGAAAACACAGTAATTTTTGAGTTCTTTGAGAAAGGTCAACTCTGTTATTACCTGCCTGTGCAACCTTGAGAATACTTTTTCCTTCTCTTGGTTTGTGTATTGTACAATAAGAGGTTGTACTAGATGGTCCTTTCTAAAGATTCTTCAAGTCAGGAGACTGTGATTCTCTTATTTATATAATTTAAAGGCCTTTTCCATGTACAACTGGGTGGTGTTTGGGAATGTGTGTAAGTCATGACCTCTTAATGGTTGTGGGTTTTTGGACAGTCAGCTACCCATCTTTTATATTTCTATTTTCCATGATACTTTGTATGTAGTAAGCACACATTTACGGTTGTCTGGATAAATGAACAAGTAAGTGAGTGAGGTGAGCATTATTTGCATTTCACCTTACACTTGCTTCAGAATCAACCATTCATTCCTCTTATCATAGGAAGGTTTGGGGCCAAGCCTATGCAGTACGAAGTCTGAACACATCAGAAGGGGCACTCATGCTGTCCCGGGACATCAGCCAGCCTCTTGGGACTACTCTCCTCCCCTTTGCAGAAAGGGTTACCCTCCATATCTCACCATCCTGTCTTTCTTGAATTTGTATCTCATACTCAGGGGGAGATAGTCATGCAGTCATGCCCTGCCTCACCAAGCTCTATGTGCTCAGCCTAGGGGCCCATAAAGGAATTGGATAATGGACAAAGTGTCTCATGTAGGTTGAAGGCTCAGCCACACTAGAGTCTTTTAAGACTTTCCATTCATACTAGAGCCATTTGTTTCCCACACCCACTGGAGGGGTAGAGTGGGGGCCTGGAATGGGGAGAATGTCTTTGTGAAATCTAATATCTTGATGCAGCTAGCTGTGAATATTGACAGAAGAGTAGTCTACACCTTGGGGGAAGCTATGCTGTCTATCTTCTTGCCACTGACTAGCACACATTGGTGGCATTATAAACCAGGCTAGCCCCACTTCCTCCATAGCCCACTGTCCAGCTCCATTTTCCACTTTCACAAGTTCTACTCATCACTTCTCAATGAATCGGGCAGAATTTTTCCAGCTAGGTAGGTATTCGTTTCCCCAAATGACCCTTAAAAAGTTCATATTTAACTCCATGGATCTGTCTGAGCAGAAGGCAGTCCTCATCATTGAACACTCATCTTCTCAGTAGGCCAGGGCCTTGGTGTGGTTGGGTGTTGATGTCTTTATTATTGGAAAACATTGGTTTTGTATTCCATCAGTAACCCCCACAGAGGTGATATTGGTATTTAGAGATCTAATCATTTGGAAAATGCTTGATTGGAGCCATGTCTTGTCTCACTTATATTTTGGAAGGTGAAGATAATGACTTGAACTACAAAGATGGTTACCCCTCTACAATCCTGTTGGATAGGGTGCAGGAATGATCAAGCTGGCAACGTCAGCAGGGTAAGATGATAGAAAAGACAATTCAAGGAAGAGACCCAATATAAAATATCATAGGCAGTTGTGGAAAGAGCACTGGCTTGGGTGTAAGCAGACCAGGGCTCTGGTTCTGGTTCTGTTATCCTTTGACTTGCTCACTGTGTAGCACTGAGTAAATTCCTTACTTTCTCAGAGTCTTGGTTCCCTCATGTATAAAATGAAGGAAAGGCCTATGATAGTCCCTAAGGATCCTCCCAGCTCTGATCTGTGTCATTTGAGAGGGTGCTTACCCTCCTTTAGTTGAACTAAGGAAACAAGATCTGGAGCCAGATCCTGGCTTTGTCTTAGGCCTACCTTTTCCAGGCTATGACCTCCATCAACTTACCTAACCTCTTTGCTTTACTTTCCTCATTTGTGAAATGGGGATTATAATAGTAATCATCTGATAAGATTTTTATAAGAATTATTTCAATTTATATGTAGCATTTGGACTATTGCTGTCACATAGTAAGTGTTAATAAATGTTAGCTACCATTATTGTTACAGGGTCCTTTCTGTGAGGTTATCCTGAGAAAGCCAGGTAGAGCAACTGGGATTCTAGGTTCTAGCTTTTCCTTCTTATCTGAGAAAAGAGACCCTCTAGAGGCTGCATTTGTAGGCTTATGAATGTGAACCTGACCTCCCTTTTAGAGAAGGTCACCTTTTTACCTCCCACTATATGGTGCCCTGTGGCTGCTGTACCTGGGAAGTCAACGTAGATGTCATTAGAAAACAGTTCATGTAGGATTTGCTCTTGTTCAACTCAACTTAGAAATCTTAACCTTCCTAAATGTGCTTCCTCTACTTTCTAGCTGGCTTTTACCTTTTCCTGTCTGACATGTTCAGTAGTGGGAGATCCAGAGGGAGTGGGATAGAGGTGAGACAAAGTGTGTAGGAGAATGAGCCATTTCTCATCTGTCTGTCTTGCCAGTATTTGTTTTCATGAAGGCTTTCTGTGCCTGTAGGATGTCCACGAGTATGTGACCAAGCCATGTTGCTGGCTTTCTCTTTTCCAGATGGCATAACTAGCCAATTCAAACAAATAGATGAGTGAATAATGGGAAATTAAATGGTAAACTCTGCAAAGGAAAAGACTGAAATTGAACCATAGTCACATAGAATGTTATATTCAGAAGGGACTTTATTATTTTTATTTATTTATTATATTTATTTATTTATCTACTTGAAAGGTAGAATTACAGAAAGAGAGAGGGGAGAGAGGGAGAGAGGGAGAAAGAGGAGAGAGAGAGGAGAAGAGAGAAAGAGAGATATCTTTCTTTCACTTGCTGGTTCAATGCCCAAATGGTTACAACATCCAGGGCTGGGCCAGACTGAAGCCAGAAGCCAGAAGCCAAGAATTCTAGCCTGGTCTCCCACACAGGTGGCAGGGGCTTGGGCTATCTTCTACTGCCTTCCCAGGCACATTATCAGGAAGGTGGAAAGGAAGCAGAACAGCCAGAATTTCTACTTGAGCTCTGATACAGGATGCCAGCATTGCACTTGTGGCTTGACCCACTGAGCCAGAAGCCTGGCCCCCAGAAGGGGGTTTTGAGATGATCTCATACGATTCCCTCTTTGTATAGTATATTGAGTAAACTGAGGCCCAGAGAAGGGAAGGGACTTGCCCAAGGTCGTGCAGCACAGTTGGGGCTAGAAACTGGGTAATTCAATGCCTAGTTGTGGGCCCTCTCCCTATATTAGTTTGTCTCTGGGGGAATTTTTGGAGACTTAGCTCCTTAATCAAAAGAAGTGACTCCAGGTATGTTGGAATGTAGATAGGTGAGTACAGATGTTTTAAGATAAAAGAGGTCTTTTGGTTCCCCCTCAAAAATCCTTTTCGATAGTTGTCTACTCTGCCTTCAAACAGAGCCAGCCTTACTGATGCTCAAAGCAGCCAAGTGGAGCCTGAGTTTCAGAGCTCCATGTCCCCAACTGTACTACCATTGCTGGGTGTGACCAAGGGGAGAGGCCTTGCAGCTGGATTCCCTGTGTGTCTCCAGGGCCTGGGAGGAGCTTGTCACTCTGGAGTAGTACACAAGGCTCTCAGCATCTGCTCTGAGGTGCTTGGTCACACCATCCAAGGACAACGAAGAGATAGGAATAGAATTGATGGAAAAATGAATCAGGGGTCACCGTCTGGTTTGCTCGGCAGCCAGTCCTTGGGAGCGGCAGAGCACTGAGAACAAAGCACAGTGTGAACCCCTGGCCAACAAAATAACCTAATAAATAGAGGTTGCACGCCCTGGAGATACAGTGGAGTTTCTGGCAGGATGGGGCGGTAGTCATTCTGAACAAACAAGACCTTAATTTATGTCTAAGCAGGGCAAGATTAGAAACCTGCTTCACATTCCTCCTAGAGAGTGTTTCCGAAAACCAGCCAAGTGAATTTCCTCCCTTTGGAGGCAGAGCAGAGAAGCTGTGCACATGGCCTTCAAAACATAGTTCCCAAGCCACTGCACTGGCAACCCCAGATATGAGCTTCTAGGTAGCAACATCTGGTGCCAACTTTCCAAGCCAATGGTAGGGACAGTCTTGTCTGGATTAACACCAAGATCTAGATGGCCTGATTGGAGCTTTGTACATTTGTGCCAATAGCCGACTGACTATCTAAAGATCTTAAACCTGCTTGTGTGTGTGTGTGTGTGTGTGTGTGTGCCTATATTCCCTTTTGTTTTCTTTTTCCTTTTTTCTCCTTTCTCTCACTTTATTTCACAATCTCACCACAATTATGATTCCCTTAATTCAAGCTAAAAGCTATAGAGGGCTCCTGAAAGGATAGCAGCAAAAGAATGAAGTTTTCAAAGACTGAGAGACAGGGTAGGGAATCAGTGAATCATCTTGACTGGGCAGGCAATGTGGGGGTGATGCCTATGTTCTCTTTCTACCCAGAATGCTCTTCAGTTTATGATCCATAATCATGCCATTTTTATCACTCAGTTCCTTCCTAAAAAGTTATCCCTTCCACTTCTGTAGCAGATTTTATTAAAGGGAAGGAAAATAAAAGAGGAATCATGAAGGATTCTTAATTTTGGAGCTGAAAGAGTCTACCAAAACCACCTAATATATTCTCTGTGGTACCCACTCTCTGACTTTCAGCTATGTTACTATTCTGGTGACCTATTCTGTATTCCCATCCTCATCCTCAAGCTATAAATTAATATACAAATCTGTCTTCCATCTGGATGTGCCACAGACACCCTATGCCCATGTCCAAAGTGGGACTCATCATATTACCCCTTAAACATGATCCTGCTTCTAAATTTCTGGTATTATTTGGTGACACCATTATGTAACAGTTACCTAAGCAAGAAACTGTGGACTCATCCTGGAATCACTTCCTCCCCTTAGCTCTTAGACCCCAATCCACCAGCAAGTCCTATTGATTTTTATCTCCTAAATATATATTTCAAATTCAACCACTTGGTTGTATTTCCACTGCTTTAGTTCAAACTCACATCACTTCATATCAGAACTACTGGGAGCCGGTGCCGCGGCTCACTAGGCTAATCCTCCGCCTTGCAGCGCCAGCACACGGGGTTCTAGTCCCGGTCGGGATGCCGGATTCTGT